AGTAAAATGCGTAATCGGCTTGAAGATGTAAGCTTCTTCGTCATCCTCAAATTTTGGTGGTACAACTGTCGCGGATTTGACAACCGATTTGTCGATTCCGCTGAGCAGGACCCAATTGCCGGCTGGGATGCCATCTGTTGGGATGTTGTATCTCGTTTCGGCAATGCTGACGCCTGATATTGTCGCCATAACCATGTCTTCTTCGTCGTCGATGGAATAGCCCTCGCCGAGTACTCTGACCTGCATGCCTGGCCGAGCAGTGCCGCTCATGACGCGACCAAAAGATGAAAAGCTTTTACCATCTGCTGTATTGAAAAGCTTCGTAATATGCACAATCAGGGGGCCATCTTGATCGCATGTCTTCATAGCTTCGCCGACTTTAGTGTCCAGTGGTCCTGTATAATATCGTTCTAGCTTGTGCGAGGCACCTTCAACCGGAGACGGGATATGCTGTACAATCATGTCCACGAAACCAGTGGATGGGCCAAAAAACTGTTCACACACCAGTTTCAGAATAACGTTGGCATCCATCTTGTACTGGGACGGCTTGAGCACAATACCCAGGGTGGATAGAGTTTGCTTCAACTCGTCAGGACTCTGGCTGATAGAAATCGAAAACACCTTGTAGATGGGTTCCAAGACGAAGTTGATAAATGACCTCTTCGCGCGATCCTCGCCAGCAAGGGGTTTACGGCTGAACGTTCTCTTTTTGGGGTTGAAGTATACATCGCCCCAGAGCCGCTTGGAAAATTCCTCCGTATTCACTCCTGGAAAAGTGTCTGCATACATCTTGGCAAATGATTGCAGGGTAAAACACCAGCCCAGTGATGTGCAGGCAAAGAGAACATTTCCTTTCTCGGGACTCAGTCGCCGTGATTCCCCGAGCCCAGGTATCGTGTCTTCAATGATGGTGTTGACCTCTTCGATGACGTGCTTAAGTTTGAAGTATGCATCGCTGGGTGGCAGTCGCAACTCCAGGATCAAGCGATCGAATTTATTGACGATGAGCGTCAAGGGCAGATCTTCTAGCACGCAGTGTTGGATGATCTGCTTAGTGTTGATCTGAACACCTTCAACAACGTCAACCACTAAAGCTACACCGTCAACCAAACGAAGAGATGCTGCTACTTCGTCAACGAAGTTAACGTGGCCAGGAGTATCAATTATGTTGACAAGATGCGACTTCCCCTTGGTGCTCTGCAGAACCAGACTCATTGGTGATGCCTTCACAGAGAGTCCACGTTCCCTTTCCAGGAAATGAACATCCGTGTATCTCAATTGCTCATCTCGATGCCTGCCTGTTCGCTTCTCAAGTTTGTCCGTTATGTCGTGGGTTTCAAAAACTAGCATGTCCATAAATGCAGTTTTTCCGTGATGCAGGTGCCCAGCGACGGCGATATTGCGTATTTGGTCTGGGTAGTTCATGAGATCGGTCATGAAGCCTCGGTCATAGAAAACCGGAGGGAGATCTTCCTCCTCGATGGTGAACTTTCGCGTGTCTGGCGGAGCGATTATAGGCTGTGTGAGAGGCTGCGCATCTTCCTCTTGCACCATGGTTTCAACGTCCTCTCCGTAAACCTGCTGCGCTGTCGGGTAATACTGCTTGTCTTCGTGTAGTATAACGGCGTTTGAAGGGCCTTCATCATCAACCTCCATAAGTTCCTGTCCCGTTGCCTCAGGGGCAGCTTCCGATCTCTCTTCATCGTAGACGTAGGCGCCCGCATCCACGCCATGTTCGGATTCCTCCTCAGATGCATCGGCCTCCTCACCAATGAAGTTACCGAACCTACGAATCAGGTTGTGTCAGTTACAGGCTGCAGGTCAAGAACGGGATAATCGGGGAGGTCCACGTACTCGTCATAAAGATCGTCCATTGCGCACGACCTTTGCAAGAAATGAAGTGAGAAAAAAGGAGAAAGAAAAGAGGACGGTAATGAATGCAAGCTGGACGACGAAAAACAACAGAGCCAGCGGGCGTTTTTGCTCTTTTCTTCCTTCTTTTGCTTACAGGAACACGATCTGGGAGCTGTCCGAAAAAAAAGCTCCCGACAAGTTGCGACGAGGCTGAGGCAAAACGCGAAATGGAGCTGTGACTAGCCCACTAGCGTGGCTTCGGCGCCTTAGCGATAAGGCAAGGCTGGCCGGCAGGGAACAGCACAAAGGCTTGGGAGCCCACTCGATAAACCGGCTGTGTGGCAGTGCCGCTACTGCTACTGGAGCCGCCAAAAAAGGGTCTCCCGTCCCAAAGACCCGCTCCGATTGAGCTCAATCCGGCGACGCACAGCGCCAAAGACCCCACGTTCGAACTTCAATTGGAGCTTGAACCCAAGGAGGGGCGGTGAGGGGCACGAATTTAGTAGGAAAAGGAGGGTTATCGGACCAGACCAAGGGCGACATTCTGCAAGAACGAAATTATTCCTCAGGGATCAGTAAACAAGATTAGTTGAAGATTGACATTTCAAACAGCCACTCGAGTTGCTCTCCCTTTTCCTTCTCTATTCCATTTCTGTGCTGCCCCAATATCGCCTCTTACATCTCCCAGTACCGAGTTGCCTCGCACCGTCGCCAACATGTCCAGCTTCCCCCCTGTCTACATTGTGTCTGCTGCCCGAACCCCCGTTGGGTCTTTTCTTGGGTAAGTACGACACGCAGCACTGACCGAGGCCATGATTTAACCCCTCAAGTCACTGACGAAGCCTCCAACAGGTCACTCTCTAGCCTGAGCGCTACCCAACTGGGTTCGATCGCTATCAAGGGTATGCCGACGCCTTCACTCCCCTCTGTGTTTCTCGCCATCGAAGATGCCGACTAGCTCCCCAACCGCCATCATGCAGGTCAAGCAATACTAACACATCCTCCGCACCATAGCTGCTGTTGAGCGAGTCCCTGAGATCAAACCTGAAGATGTCGAGGAGGTCTTCTTTGGTAATGTTCTCTCTGCGAAGTGAGTGTTTACCAAGCCCAATTTTCCGTTCCCAAGATTTGGAGGGTTTCGTTACTGATCCCATCACCTCTCTCTCTCCAGCCTCGGACAGGCACCTGCCCGCCAGTGTGCCCTTGGTGCCGGTCTTTCCGAGTCAGTCGTCTGCACGGGTGTCAACAAGGTCTGCGCTTCGGGCATGAAGGCCATCATCCTAGGCGCCCAAACCATCATCACTGGCAATGCCTCCATTGTTGTTGCCGGTGGTACGGAGTCTATGTCGAACGCCCCTCACTACCTCCCAACTCTCCGCAACGGTGCCAAATTCGGTGACCAGACTGTCGTCGATGGTATGCTGAAGGACGGTTTGACTGATGCATACAAGAAGGAGCACATGGGTTTGGCTGCCGAGCTCTGCAACGATGACCACGAGATCGGTCGTGAGGCTCAAGATGCTTACGCTATCGAGACTTACACCCGTGCCCAGAAGGCTACCGAGGCCGGTATCTTCAACACTGAGATCGTTCCTGTCGAGGTCAGCGGTGGTCGTGGCAAGCCCGCCATCAAGATCACGACTGATGAGGAGGCCAAGAACTTGAATGCCGAGAAGCTCAAGACAGTCCGCCCCGTGTTCAAGGCCCAAAATGGTACTGTCACGGCCGCCAATGCTGCCCCGTTGAATGATGGAGCTTCTGCCGTTGTGCTCATGTCCGAGGCCAAGGTCAAGGAGCTTGGTGTCAAGCCTATCGCCAAGATCCTGGGGTGGGGTGACGCCGCCAGGGAGCCAGAGCGATTCACTACTGCCCCGGCACTTGCCATTCCCAAGGCAATCAAGCACGCCGGCATCACGGCAAAGGATGTGTCTTTCTATGAGATTAACGAGGCCTTCTCGGTTGTTGCGCTTGCCAACATGAAGCTCCTCGGGTTGACTCCCGACGTTGTTAACGTTTTTGGTGGCTCAGTAGCCATCGGCCACCCTCTTGGATGCTCAGGAGCACGTATCGTCACAACGTTGACAACTGTCCTTCGCGAGAAGAAGGCAAAGATTGGTGTTGCTGGTATCTGCAACGGTGGTGGTGGTGCCAGCGCCATCGTCATTGAAAGCCTCCAATAGCTACATGATAGTGGGTCCAGACTGTAGTTTAAGATGTGGACGGTCAGTCGTACCACCGTAGACGGGAGAGCGCTCGTAAATGCCATAAGATGCGTGACTCAATCAGATATTGAAGAATAATCAAGAGCACACTGAGCTTACCCGGGCAATAGACAAACAACTAAGTAAATTAATAGAAGATTGAACAAAGAAGACACATGTCCACTGGTTTTGTAGCCACACATATGTATAGATATACAGAATCTAGTACGCCAGGTTGTTTCTGAACATTGATTGAAATGAACATGTAACTAAAGTAGCTTTCGAAGCACATTGCGTCAGGACGTTATGCAAACAGTATTAAATGGCACCAGTGTGTAGAGGCTTATAGTACATGCATTATTAGATATACTACCAAGTTGTAAAGATTTGGCTACCACTTTGGTAAATAACTACCACGGTGCGCGTACCTGGAATCAGTATGGCTGTCTGATACAGGACTACAGTTGATATGATGTATACGTAAACCCGGATGCTGCTATCAGGAATGCTATCTCGGGACTTAACAGATATACGCCTACCATGGAGTGATCTTGATGCTCTGTTTATCGCGTGCCGATCGACCTAAGAAAACATAGCAGATTTTTTTAATCAAGCTCGAAATAGTCAGATTAGAGGCAACAGCACATGTTCTCGGCAATCAGTACAAGTTACCAATAAATCTCAAGTGAGTATATACCTCCTTCGAATGCAGCATGTTCAAGCAAGAAAAAAAAGCCATGTTTAGAATGCCTGACAATAAGACAAGAAACAACAATATTCTAACTTAGGGGCTGGGAAACTATTAGCAAACATAAACATGGACGCACAAGTAGGCGCACTGGAGAGTGTTGTTAAATGATTAACCCAGACAAGCCAAGTGTGCGTAGTTTTTCAAACATTAGATAATGCGATAAGCACAAACCTCCTCAACAATTAAACAAATCATCTCGATTAGTATAGTGGTCAGTATGCCAGCTTGTCATCAAATAACCATTTGAAAGCGCTCGCTGGAGACCGGGGTTCAATTCCCCGATCGAGAGCTTCTTTTTGGATTTTTCTCCCTTGAGATTAGTTCCATCTCCTTGGCCGTCATTTTTGACCTGCAGGCTCGAAATCGTCTCCCACTGGTTTCTTTCTTTCTACTTCAGCCCCTTGTCGTCTGATAGTTCACCCCTCCTTGCACGGGCGGCTCAGGCATCTTGGATGATCAAGGAATCACCTCCCATATTCGGTGCTTCCTCACTGCAACCAAAAATGGGCCTAGATAGGCTTTCCCTCAGTTCATTCCCACCCTTGTTAATCGAGATTGACCCATGCCTGATTTATTATTAGTCTCAGGCTCTGCATATTGAATGCTGCAGACAAACAGACATTGCTTTCATGATGCCAAGTTTCTTGTCTGTGCAAGAAGGTGGCGATCAATCCAGTAGTGTTGAAGGACTGTTTCTGGGATGCTGTCCCTCGCAATTTATGACTGGCCATCAGATTGGCACAAAAACTTGAGAAAGCACAGTATTCGTACATGAAGGAAGCATGCCAATGGTAGTAGCATCAGCCCACCAAATGATGATCAGGTAAAACGCCTGGGCAACAGGAAGACACATTGCCCAGATTCCCCCACAGCGCTTGGTGATGCCGTGGTTGTTGCCCGTCTGAAACGTCTTTTCGCTTTTTCCCTTCTCTGTTCGGCCACCGCCTGTAACCGCCTAGGTCCACCCGGCTCGCACGGCGAAATCCCAAACAAGTCAGTTCGATCTGCTTCACACTTAGGTTTCCAGTGATGGCATCTTGGCCAGTCGCGTCTTAGCCCAGCACAGATGAGCCAGAGAATGGGTATGCGGATAGTGGCGTGCAAAGCTACCGCAGACAGTAAACTAGTCCCCCCGCCCGCGCTCTTCTGCCAAACCCCGTAGAAATCAACAGCAATCATTCACAAGTGATAAACTAGAGCATCCTGCAGGCTTATTATAACCCCGGATTATAAGCGTTTGTTTATTGCACTTGACAGCCCTTCAATATCCCCCCGAAGCCATGCGGACCAGCAGCGATGCGAGATTATGTCGACGCTAGCAAGGCTCGTGGGGTGACAGACTTGCCGTTGATGTCTCGGTTGTCAGCCACCTCAAACACCCCCTCGTCAGGGGCCCGTCTCAAGTGCTCCTCCGAGCCACTCGGACCCCTGCACCTCCGGAGCGGCAGGCGGAACTCGACCTTACAATCTAAGCTTCAGTCTGTGTGAGCCGCATGAGTTCTCTTAGGCGGATCCCCTGCCCCAAGCACGTTTTATTGGACGAACATGGGCAATTTACGTGCTTTTTCTTTCTTTCTTTTCTTTTTTTTTTTTTTTTTTTTTTTTTTTTTTTTTTCCACAGCCCGGGATGGTGTCGTACGTACCCTGTCACCGATGTTCTCATGGGGCTCGAAACAATGCCCTGGCCATACACGACCCATGACGCCCTGGCACGGTTGGAGCTATTCTTGAAGGTCTCGTCGTCTGTGTCCGTGGTTTATCACCCACCGTAGTCCCCAGTTTAGAACTATGCCCTCTCGTTGATGTTTCTGTTCCGACCCAGATTCGTTCGACCGGCAAGTTTCCTTCCTGTCGTGCCCGTGTAAGAGACGTGGATACTCTGTTACGCCCATCCGCTCCTTTTTCGTGCGTAGCTCAGAACTCTTGGCATCCTATATCTGTTTTCTTCGTTCTCTCACTCTAAAATCACCTTTCTTTCTGTCCCTTCCGACTCGGTTCGCCCTCGTACTTGACTGAAGATCTCCGGGACGATCCTGGCACTCACTATCCTTTCCCTCCCTCTGGGTTGACCCCACCTAATTGAAAAGAAACGGCTGGTCTGTTTTCTGTCGCTCATTGATCGGTTCTATTCGAGTTGAAGACAATACCCGGCCTGGAGGGACGGACCGTTGGGGTATTGGATATTCAGGATGCGCTCGCAATTTAATACGCTGTTGTTTGCTTTCCTGGCGCTGCTTTCTCTTGTTCAGGTAGGTCTAATAAGAAATCCGCAACCCGGCTGACTGATGGGAGGTGAGGACCCAGTGAACTCAGTACTTACAAAATACCTAGGCCGTCTCGTATAATCATCACAATGATCCTGCGCCTGTGAAGCGCGGTGGTCAGATACTGGATGCCGTCAAAAACCTGCACTTTGGAAAGAAAGAGACCAAGACGGTCACCAAGACGGTCAAGGAGACGGTCAAGCAGACAGTAACTGTCGCGGCAGCCGCTGTAGGAAATGGAACCGTGGTGCAGACTATTACCGTGACTGCGCAAGCTGCTGCTGCGAGCTCGGGAGCTGCCAAGTAAGTTTGGAATAGCACATACTCATGAGACCCAACAGAAGGTCAGTAAGGGCTGACATTACGGGCAGTTTGCAACTTTCTTTCGTTACTACAACTGTATTTGCCTCGGGTGCTCCACCAACAACTACTATAACGCCCCTTGCCACCACTGTCACCCAGCTTGTCACGACGACAGTAGTGCAAATGGTTGGTTGTGGAACGACTCTTGCCACGGCAGTATCTGCTAGCGATTCTGCCAGCTCCACTACTACCACCACGATAACTAGCACCCAAAGTGCCGCCAGCGTGGATACCACGACAACTGTTCAGACTACCTTGACCGCTCAGTCGATCACTTCCACCCCGGAGACTGCCTCTGGAGCAGCAGAGACGGCTGTAACCACTTCCACGGGAACTACCACAGCTGCAGGTGAGCAAATATATACCCCCTTGAAATCTCTCTAATTCTCGACCCACCGAGTGCCTCTTGTTAACTTGCTCTTTAGCTGGCACAACCACCACGGTTGCAGCCGCGACGACAATCGCAGCCGCCGCTCCCGCTCAGTCCTCTCTTGATCTCCCCGAAGCAGGCACGGCTGCTGCCGCCGCCGCCGCCGCGACCACAGCAGGGGCGCTGCCAGAAGTTTCCTATAGCGCCTCGATCAACCTGAGCGACGTGACGTTGACAAGCGTTATCAACCTGGGAGCTTTAGTGGCGAAACCTACCACGACAGCGCTGGCTTTGTAAGGGGATGTTTTATTTCTTACAAGATGTTTCTGCGCCGTCAGATAACAATCAAATAAGAAATGTTTAACATGAAAAAAAAAAAGAATAGAGATACCCCGATTACTAATGTTTCTCGGGAGTCATGGTATATTTATCTTCATGAAGCCACATCAAGGTAATATGTCATTACCCGATAGACTTTGTTAGTCAGGGACAGATGCTGGCATGGATTTCTGTATATGACTCTTTCAATTCTACAGCGAACCTCCCCTGAGGGGAGGAGTTAATATAGCACAGCATATCTCTGATAATGTTTATATTATTTGTCTTCATATTTGCTCCAGAACGAGACTCAGCATCTTTGCATAAGTTCGATATGAACACGACGAAGAAGGGGCGGCAAGGAACGCACACCATATTCGCAGCCAGTAGTATTAACTCCGTACCTTTGCACATGTAGCAGTCTTTGCGCAAAGTAGATAGAGTGATACCTACATAAGTAGATATTAATGTCGATAGAACTACTCGCTGTGAATCCAATGCCTACTATCTGGGGAATAAAAAGAACACCACTCTGATTATAAGGACTTGACTATCCTCTCTCTTTTATAAACTCGACATCATAAGCCAAACGATGATTTAGAATCAGGAGGGATATTATATGTACACGAACGCCAACCCAACGCCTGCAATTGCAATATGTGCTCTTTCCTTTAGGCTTAAATACAAGCAATATAGCCAGCCCTAGTCACTCAACATCAATATTAACAGGGCAACGGACCACCCGTGATTCATGTCCTTGCGATGGATTTGCCACGACGAAAGGACTGCATTCAATATATGAACGATCCCAAGTACGGAGAGTAGATTGCGTGGACATTAACTATACCGCATCGGTTCCTGATTCTGCTGGTATTGGCCAGGAGGACCGCCTCCCCATCCCGGACGCGGTCCCTGATTCTGCATTGGTATAGCGTTGCCACCTCCGCCTTTCATCTGCTGAACATCGGGCCGGTTCTCAAGGGGCTGGGCGAAGTTGCATACTGTGCAGGTTATATCCTCGTAACCGTGGAAGGAAAGCGGAAGCACCGGCTGTAAGATACCCAGTTGTTAGCTAAATTGTGTCTCTTCGGAGAGCAGAAATTTCTCCAAGTCGGAGAGAAGACATTGTGAGAGGTAGGACATACGACGAAGCAAAAGGTGAACCACGGGTGCGACTTGATGACATGGCCATTCCAGTTGCCGCAATTGTGACACTGGCAAAGCACCCCCTCGTATCCCTCGACTTCCTTGCGAAAAGTATGCTCTCCGCAGGTAAAAATGAGACACATCTTCTCTTTTTTTCCCAGCTATTTCGCAAGTGTGGACGGCAAGGTGTTTCCGAGCATGCGCCAACGCAAGGCGAGAATGCAGAGGCAGTTCAAGGCTCTGGGTCGTCCCACTGAGTTGCGCGACTTGGATGGAAGCTTGGGTGGAGCTCAGATAGGTTTGCGTAGAGTTATTACTCAACGGTGTCTCGGAAGGCAGAGCGCGCGCGAAAGGCCGATTATAATGGTATCAGAATAGATGGCGCAAGTGCTGTGAACGAAATGGCGAGGAATAGATGCAGAGAAGAGGCCAGGAAGTAAAGTATTGTGTCTTACACCTGTATGTCTCTCTGATGCGACGGGTAATGATCCAACATTGACGGCAACTTTGCCAATTGGACTGCTGAGGAGCTAATAACTGAGAACAATGCGTCACTGGAAGGCAGCTGCGAAACTAGGCAGTGGCTGTGCCTCTCAGCTTCCAATCAGGCCGTGGCTGCCCCTCAGGCTGGCAATCTGCCCATTGACAGCAGGGTGTCAAGAGCTTGGAAACGCCGCAACATTCAGTGCCAAGCGTGTAAGGGTTCGTTATTCGCGCTGGCTTCCCCGATTGCCCCACCACAGCACGTTGGGAGACCCAAAAGTGCCCGGCTGTGGTGGTTCAGGTGGTTCTGTGGTGCACACCACACCCCTTGGTACGCCTTTTCCA